GCCCGGCACCCCACAGGTACGCCCCAGCATGGGGCAGGGGACCCTGGCTCCTACCGTATGCCCCCCTACCCCCAGTGTCCTGTGCCCCATGGGGTATGGGTTTGGGGGTGCTGGAGGTGCAGGGGATGGAGGAGCAGGACACCCCAGAGGCTTCATGCTGCGGCGCCGGGGGGCAGCTGGGGCACCCACGCGCCATGTGTGGCATCAATGCCAAGGCGATGCTCTGGGCATGGGGTCCTTATTTCTCCTGGATGGCCCTGCCAGCACGCACCCCAGGCAGCCCATGGTCTGCCGGGCACCTCCCAGCAAAGGGCTTGCACGCAGGCACCACCAGTGCGTGGGGCACGGGCAGAGCCGGAGCCCGAGCGGGGTGAGGGAGGGCAGCTCAGGGGCCACATTCCCCCATCCCCGTGGAGAAGGACTGGGCCAGGGGGGGTGTGCAAGGCTCAAGACCCCATTAGAAATCCACTTGTCTGCAGGGGTTATCTGGGGCCACCCCCTCCCCTTCCCACGATCGATGCCCCTGCCTGGCCAACAGTCTTTGGGCCGCCTCCGGCCCCCACCCGCCGGATAAGGTGGCTCTGTTAATGGGCGACAGAGCAAACAGCCCGGTGCAGGCAGGCGATAGCAGCTGCCCTTTGCCCCGGGCTGGGGGCAGGGACTGTCCCCCCAGCCCCGGTGGGATCCATCTGTGTTGGGGCTGTGCTGGGAACCTCACCCACAGGCCCTGCCCCTGCCTGCAGCCTGCCTGCCCTCTCTGTGCCGGGCGCAGTGCCCATCGCCGCATCACCCAGGGATGCTCGCTGCCGGACCGAGGTGGGCTGAGCTCATCCCGCCCCAGCCAAGCCCCGGAGATGGCACCCTTAATGTGTAACTGCCGGGAAGCACGATAAGATAGAGCCGCCCTTTATCAGGGCTGCCCGGTAGCAAGAGGGAGGGTGCTGGAGGCATCAGGGTGTCACAGGAGGAGTGAGATTGCCTGGAGATAAATGGTGATAGAAAATAGCTAATCCATGATGGATGGGCTGGGGAAGGGCAGCTGGGGAGCTCAGCTAATTGCCATGGGAGCTGGGCTGGGGCCGGTGAGACCTGGGAGCCAGAGCAGGGAGGTGGAGGCAGAGGGAGCCTGCATGTGCGGCATGGAGCTGCCAGCATGTGGGATGCTGAAAACACCTTGCCCCGTGGGTGTGTGGTGTCCCTGGGCTGGCCCTGTGGCCCTGCCAGCACTGGTGCTGTCCTGCTCTTGGCCACAGACTGGTTCCTGGCTCTCAGCTCACCCTGTCCCCCAGCCCGGTCCAGAACTGCCTGTTCCTCCCAGGAAGGTGCTGGGGGTGCCGAGAACCCTGCGCCGCCTGGCACCCCACCAGATGAAGGCAAGGGGGCTGGCGGGGCTGGGGGGCAGCAGGGGGAGTGAGGGGCTCCCTGCCAGCTGGCCTGGCCCCCCCATCTGTCACGATGCCTTCATTAGAGCCACTGAGTCACCTCTTGGCAGCGTGGCCATGCTGGGGGAGCAGGGCTGGCCCCAGGAGAGGGGTGTCCGTCCCCTGCTCCCACCCTGCCAGGTGTCCTGGCAGCCTTGTTCCTGAGCTGAGACGTGCCTCTGCTCCGCGGGGGCCCCTGCTGCCACCCCCATTGCTTCCCTAAGCCTTCCCCACCCGGGCTCTCCCAGGGCTGGAGGGAGACATAACAAGGGGCGGTAGACCAGGGCTGTACCCTGGGGAAGGGGATGGCTCCAGGGCAGCAGGAGCTGGCTCACTTCCCTCTGTCCTGTCTGCACAGGCTGCTCCGGTGCCCATGTCCCCGTCCTGCACGCGCGCAGACGGCTGGGGGACTGACACTTGCGCCTGTCACTCCGGGGAGCTGGCTGTGCCACTACCGCCTGTGTCACCTGTCACGGCCGTGACAGCGGAAGCAGGAGCATGGGGGCTGCCCCCTCCATGGCGGGGACGGCGGGGACAGACAGCCAGGGTGGCATGGTAAGAGAACATCCCCAGGAGTGCCCCCTCGCCATGCCCGGGCTCTCCCCAGGGACCCGTGCAGATCTCAGCCTGGGGAGCAGAAGGCTCCTGGGACATGAGATGCAGAGCAGGGTCCTGGTCACCTCGTCCACTCCTCTCCCGTTGTGTCCCTGCTCCCTCTTCTGCCACAGCTTTGGGTGCTGCTGTGGGCAGAGACGCATCTCCCAGGCCGGGGTGGGCTCCCTCCCGTCCTCCCCTGCTGTTTGTCCTGACCCAGCTGCATCCCAGGCTCCTGGGGGACTCCTGGCTTCTGGGCTGCAACAGTGCCAGGCATGGGCTGCAGTGGCTGGGGAGCGGGGACCCTTGGGGGACACAGCACGCTGGAGGTGGCCGTGCAGGGAGGGGTTCCCGGGGTGTCCGGCAGCTCCTAGGCGAGAGCACCCCAGCACAACAGGCAATGTGGGGCTGGCAGCATGGCTCTGCAGGATGGACCTGCCTAGGGGTGGCTGAGGGAGGTTGGGGCACGGGTGGGGGCACCCTGGGGCTGGGCTGGCCCAGGGGTGCGGGACCGGCGGGGCGGGCAGCGGGCAGGGGCGGTGGTGGCCGTGCACTTGCCCTGCGCCCACACACACTCCCGCTGGCCCGGCAGCCCCAGGAATGTGGCTGGCAGCGCTCCCGGCCCAGCTGTGGGGCCAAGGCCACCCTGGCACCCTCCCAGCCCCTCGGCAGCTCCTGGCCCTGCCCGGCTCCCGCCAGCCTGCACACAGACCCCCCTGTTCACTGCTGGCCCCTGGGCCTGGCCCCCGGCCCCCCTCTGTGGGGCAGGGAGGGGAATGTCCTGCATGGGGATGCCTCTGAGGAAGACCCCCTTTGCTTTGCAGCATGGCACTGTGCATGGGGACACGGGGACATGGAGACCCTCTCTGCAGTGCTGCTGGCCCCCTGCCCCAAAGCCACCCATGTCTGCTCCCAGCACAGCTCCTTCCCTGGCACAGGGGCAATCCTGGCACAGCCCCAGCTCCCAGCCAGCACCTTTGCCAAAGCTGGACCTTGGCACCTCCCTCCAAAACCGCGTCCCCCCCTGCTCACCCCTTTGCAGGAGGGTGCTGTGTCCCCCCACCCATGCAGTCCTGAGGCACGTGCTAGGGGGCTGCCCCCACCCTCTGTGGGGGCTCCCAGTGCAACGGGGTCCTGGCATCACCCATTGGGGTGGACACAGCTGAATGTGGTGGTGCTGCGGGCACCGTGGAGGGGTGCCCACCCTCAGGGTGCCCACTCACAGGGTGCCCACTCTCAGGGTGCCCAGGCTGTAGGGCTGGTTGGCCCCAGTTTGAGGCAGTCTCCCCATCCTGTGCGAAGGTGCAGGCTGGGGCACTTGGAACTGTTTTCTACCAGCTCCCGGTGTGGGGACGTGCCCCCCCCCCCCTTACTGGGGGGCAAATTTGGTGTCTCCCAGGAAAGGTTATCAGCTAATCACCCTGCCCCGCTGTCTCTGCACGGTTCCCAAATGTCACCGTTGTCCTCGCTGGGATGGTGAGCTCATGCTCCCCCCCCTCATCCTATTAATGAAACCCCCCCTCCAGCACCATGTGAAGCAGCTGCCAGGGCCTGGCCCTTCCGTGGCTCCTTTGAAGCAGAGCCGGAGCCGCTGACAGCCCTGTCAGGCTGGGGAGGGGGCTTGGCACCCAGCAGGTGCAGGATGGGGCCCCAGGGGCCGGTCCTGGGCTGGTCGCAGGGCTCCAGCTGTCCTCCATGGTCCCCAGCCACCCTGCCAGGACTGCAGGGAGGGTTGGGGTGCAGGGATGGGGTGCAGGACCGAGCACCCAGGGCCACGGCGGAGACACCCCCCAGTCCTCACCTGGGAGCCAAGCGCAGGGGCTGGACCAGGGGCGTTGTTGGGGCATGGCTGCTGCAGTGTGATGGGCACAGGCACGCTGGCTGCATGGGGCTGTCCATAGGGGCCCCAAGTGCACCCCATGCCTGTCCTGTGGGGCCGGGGCCAGGGGCGCTGGGCAGTCAGCCAGAGCCGGGGGCAAGGGGAGGTCTGCGGGGTCTGTCTGCGGGACAGGTCAGAGCCCACTCACTCCAGGCACAGGGAAGGACCCGGGCAGGGGAGTGCATGCAGTGCCCACCCCCACTGCCAGGCAGCCTAAAAATAGCCCCTTGGGGCTCAGCAGATGGAGCAGAAGGGCCGAGCCCTGTTGCTGCAGGCACCCTGCCAGCCCCCCCCACAGTGCTGGGGGCTGGGGAGGCAGCAGGGCCACACAGCGCTTTGGGGCTGCCCTGAGCCCCCGCTGCCCCTGTTCCTACTGCCTGGGATCCCATCAGCTATGCCAGTCCCGCTCCACCTCTGCTCTGCCCTGCTGGGAACCATGGCACAGCACGGCACGGCACAGCACGGCAGCAGCCTGTCCCCTCTGCATGGGAACCAGCAGGGTCTGTCCCTGCCCTAGTTAAAATTGTAAAGCCCACGATGGCGCATCCCGCACGGGGGGGCTGCAGGTCCCGCTGGGCTCCGGAGATGCCGGGGGCTGCAGGGCACCATAGGCAGGGCCAGGGTCTGTGCAGGGATGGGGAGCACTGTGGGCCAGGTCCAGGCTGGCTGTGTCCTGCCTGCCACTGGGCAAGGCTTTCTCCTGGGCAGAACGGCTGGGGGAAGGCGGCTGCCCATGGTGGAATAAGGACGTCCCACCAAAGGACACGCCTTGGCACATGCCCTGGTCCTGCAGACAGCAGGTCTGTGGCTTGTGAGGCAGCTGGATCCCAGGACCAGGGGCCCAGCGCCTGGGTTGGGTTGGTGCAGCCAGAGAAGGGACATTCCTGGGGCAGCACTGCAGGGTGCAGGCAGCTGGGCAGAGCCTGGGGTGGCAGGGAGAGCTGGGTCCCCCTGGCTGCTCTCAGCCCCTCGCTGCAGCATGGGAGAGCAAACTTCATCTCCTGGCAGGCGCAGCATTGCCATGGCAACTGGCAGGGCACTGCCAGGCGGGCAGTCAAGCCCTGACGTGGCGGTGACACGCAGCACGGGAAGGAGCCCGGACGCAGGGCCTGGTCTTAGGAGCATCTGGGGACACGCTTGGGTGTGTGAGCACGTGCCTGTGCGCCTGGGCGCGTGCCTAGGGGTGCACGGCGGGGAGCAGGCAGATGTGTGCATCTGAGTGCATGCACGAACGCCTGCATCTGTGTGCATGCACGTGTGTGTGTCCATGGGAGAGCACCCCCCCTGCCCCAGGAGGGCCTTTGGCTCTGTGGCACTGGGTGTACCCCACTGCTCTGGGGTGTGACAGGGCTGTTCTGGACCCCAGGAACTGTAGGATTCCCCCCACCCCACCCCCAAAGCTATGGGATCGGTAGCTTTCTGTTTTGGGGGGCAGATGCGCCCTCTGACTCCGGCCCCTGCCTGCACGTGTCCCTTGGCCACAAACCCTGCCACACTCCAGCAGGCAGGGGCTGTCCACCAGCCACCCCGG